AATTACTTCTTGAATAAATGAAGTTTAAAAAAAACACCAAACTAAAAAATCAACAAAACACTGATGAAGAAGAAACTCTAGAGACCACTTTGTGAGAATCATCAGTAGTAACGCAGGTTTTCTCACCAGCTGCTATCTTAGTAACACTTGACGGTCACATAACTCTGAGAATCTCAGTTTCTTCTTTTGCAAATGAGGAAGTTGATCCAGTTTAGTTGTGGTTTCTTTCCAGCTCTACCATACCAAGTAAGACTTTAAAATAGTCAAGAAGACCTGGGGTAAATAAAGCCCAGGGAGTGGAGAAGGCCAGCTAATTTTATTTGTACCTCTAACTATCTGTTCTCATTAACACTAAAAAGCAAAGATTTGACTCATCTCAATTCTCCAGTTTAAGAAATACCTTTAATTAAGACATTTCTTACTCCCCTGAAGTGTAACTATATCCAGCTCCATTTTTTGAAAGGGGTGGCATATTTCATGTTAGGGAACTGAAAACATGCCTTTTTTTCCTCCTTATTTTTAATATAAACCATATTGACTTCCTTCTATGATTATTCAAAACTTATTACCCAAATAGACCTAAAGGATTAGTAATTTGAAGGCAGATGTTTGAAAAAATTTAAAATAAAGTAGGACATTAATAGATTTTAACTTGTTGCAAAAAAGTTAAGTGGACAAAACAACTACGAAACATCATCTCACCCCAGTAAGAATAGCAAAATTTAACAGAACAGCAAATATCAAATACAAGCGAGGTTGCAGAGAAACTGGAACCCTTATTCACTGCTGATGGGAGTGTAAAATGGTGCAACCCCTGTGGAAGGCAGTATGGCGCCTTCTCAAAAAAGTTGCAAATAGAAATACCATTTGACCCAGCAATTCCACTACTGGGAATACACCCCAAAGAAACCATAACCACCACCCAAGCAGATATATGCATACCCATGTTTATTGAGGTTTGTTCACAATAGCAAAGATCTGGAAACAACCTAAATGCCCATCAACAAACAAGTAGATAGAGAAGCTCTGGTATTTTCACACAATGGAATACTATGCTGCATTGAAAGACAAGGAACTCATGAATCATTATATAAAATGGGTGACCCTGGAGGACATTATGCTAGGAGAAATAGCTCAGTCACAAAAGGACAAATACTACATAATGCCACTGTTATAAAGTGGGACTGACATCGGGGTTGAGGTAAGACTGAGAAGGAGGGGATAAATAATATATGCTGCATTGAAACAAATGAGGGAGAGAACTGTTTAAAAGAGATATATGATTAGGTATTATTGTCATGACAGAAGTCCAGAATGAAGTGGAGTAGACTTGGGGGGAGGGATTGTATAACAATGAAAGATTTATTTTTTTTTTTACTTTTCAAAGAAAAGAGCAAATGGGGGGGTGTAGAGGGTGGGCAGGAAGAAAAGTGCAACAATGAATGAATAGAAACTCTAAGTCTGTGTAAACTTTTATTAAAATTAATTTTTAAAAAAGAATTAAGTTGAAGCACCATCTAGTGGTCCTCAGTCTTGTTTTGCTGAAAAACTTTCCCTATTTCCTTGAATGTAGGACTATAATCAATGTATTTGTTGTGCATGCACATATGTACACACTCATGTTCAGAGAAAATGTTTTTGTTTTTCTTTTTACTTCTGAGCAGAAATAAGTGACAGTTAGGGTAAGGGAATAGCTATTGTTTTTTTGTTTTTTTCCCCTTACTTTCCAAATCCATTATATCCTAGAAAATTCTGCAAATGAAAATGTTATTCCTCTTGCACAATTAGGATTAAAGGCAGGAAAGACATGGCATGAATTGACATAAATTTATTTTGGGAGTGGTGCAGAACTTGCAGTGCGGGGAGTGGGAGGGGAAAGGCTAATAATTAAATCCTGTAGATTGCAGTTTCTCTTTTTCCCGTCCATCCTCTTTAAGTATTCAAAGAAGCATCTTTATCTTCCTAATCCTGTAATGCAGACATATTCTCACATACCTAGACTTTGACCAACAATTGGATGGCTTTGTATACCCTTAGCTTCCCAAACCGTTTCCCACCAGAACCCCACAGTATTCTTTGACTGTACATAACCAGGAATTCTTCTGTAACTTCCACAGAGATGGCTTTCATGCCCATGACTCTTACATAATGAAGTTAAGTTTGTTTTATTATCTCTAACAAAAGAAAATACACCTCATGAAAATATAACATTATCAAAAGTACTATAAAAATACCTTGATATGAACAAACTACATATTTTATCTAATTTAACTACACAAAGCAAAACTCAGGAAAACAGTCGCTTGAACTTTTTAATTCTAATTTTCTCTTTCACACAGTAGAAATCTGTAGGTCAGTGGTCTAGGATTAGTACAGCAGTTCCAGGATCATCAGGGCCTAGGATCCTTCCATCTTTCATTCCAGCCAACTTCAATCCTCAGGCTCACCCAAGACTCAAATGGCTGCAGAAGTTCCAAGAATCACATTAACACTTCAGTTCGCAAAAAGGTAGCAGACAGGAAAAGCAAAGGTAGACAACTACACTCTCTTTAAAGAATCTTCCAGAAAATTTCACACAGTCTTTATGATTGCATCTTATTTGCCAAATGCTACATGGGTGATCATATTTAGCTGCAAGGTATTAAAAATTAAAGCTTCCATAAAATAATTTTATTCTGATTCCAAGATTTTTCAAACAAGACAAAACCAAAAATTAAAAATAGCATTACATAGAGGCAGAAGCATAAACACACATCCTTTATACTCAAGGTTGCAGACTTCTGTACAGAGTTGGAACAGTGAGTGGCATACAATTGATTGGTGGTATTCAACAAGCTCTTTAACACTCATTGACCAACTATTTTTATTGCTTGTAATATTCAACCTTTGCTTCAGTTTCCTGTGTTTTAGACCAGTTACTGCAACAACGCAGGTGGGCCACCTCTGAATATTGCAAAACACATTATCTTGGTCAAAGATGTGGTCATGGGTCACATACTGTAAAAAGGGAAAAACAATGACCAAAAAGAACCTCCTCAAACCTGTGACAGACATTTTTGGCTAATCCAATTGCCTTCATTAGAGAAGGTTCTTTCACAAAGGAAAACTGAGAAATGGTTTGTGTTTGGCTTTTGCGGTTTTGTTTGTTTTGCTTTTTTTAATTAAGCACATCTCTACACTGTCTAAAATTGGAGTTCTACTATCAAGCAGTAATGTCAATAATGTATGTAGTGAATAACCCCAAAGCTCCAATGTCAATGATTGATTATATAAATGGGATCAACTAACATCCATGAGACAGCTCTGCTGAGTTTGTATAATGTCGTCACATGTCTAGAGAATGGATGGTCTTTGGGTTAGTCTATGCTGACCCAAGAAGGAGACTGAGGATGGCACTGCGTGATTGAATTCTGTGTCATGGCTTGGTGTTGTTGTTGTTGTTGTTTTCCATTCCCCAACAGGTTAGCCTAATGAATTTGTGACTAGAAAAACCTGCAAGACTTTATTGTGTAGCATAGAGTCAATTTCAATCCATACTGTCCCTCCAGTGGGTTTTCAGAGACAGTTAATCGTATGGGAGGAGATTGTCCATCCTTCTCCAGTGGAGCAGCTGGTGGTCTCGAACCACGTGCCTTTGGGATTGCAGCACAGCTTCTTGACACTGGACCAGGATAAATTCCAGTAAAGATAGGTTGTGGTGGCCTTAAAATATAGTTAATGTTTCTCTAAGTACTCCCACTTCCCATTATCCTTAAATTGTTGCCATGCCACCCTAAGTATCCTGGAGAGCAGATAAAAAAGAGACAAGAAGCTCTAAAAGTGGGGGACATTCAGATACATCTCCAATGCCTCTAACAGTTCCTTAAAATGCGCACGTACATGCACACACATGTGCAATGCCATTAAGTTGATTTTGACTCATAGTGACTCTTGAGGACAGACTCGAACTGCCTCCAGAGATTCCAAGGCTGTATTCTTTGTAGAAGCAGGCTGCCATGTATTTCTTTTGCAGAGCAGGAGGTGGGAATATTACTCTTTTGGGGTCAGTTTATAATTTTTTCAGGGATACGAAAGGGTGCTAATGGCATATATTAGATAGCATGTGACATGCTGAACTGCTAACCAAAGGGTTGATGGTTCTAAACCACCAGCTGCTCCATGGAAAAAGATGGGTAGAATGCTCTTGTTGTGATTTACAGCCTCAGAAACCCAATGGAGAGTTTTTATGAGTGTCAATGTCAGCGGGTAGTAGATAATACAGGAATACAGAGATTACTAAAAATAACTCCTAAACATTTATTTAATAATCAATTGTGACACACGCATCCTGCTACTTTCTAACAAGGAAGAACAGAGTAGAAAGTTAGCTGCTGGTTGCCTTAGCCACAGTGATTGAAGTAGCTCCTGACATTGCAATATTGATTAGCATTTCATATAGGGAGGGGAGAAGACCAAGAAGCTAAAAGGAAACTATGGTCCAAAGAAAGTGAGGTGTAGGCAAACAGTGCAGCGCTGTTATTTACCTTACACTGAGCCACATTACTCTTTTAGCAGCTTGTTTCACTTTTGCAAATAAGTAGCCAATATGGAAAAGGGGGGTAGGGGTCTGTGGTGGCAGAGTCCTCACAGATTTTCCCTGTTCACCCACAGCACACGCCTCTTTGGCTATTCTAATCCATACAAGCTAAAAGTCAGAAGAAAATGGGCAGTTTCCACCCCTGTGATTTACAGTCATGGGGAAAAGGTCACTGATGAGGAGCTTCCTAATTAATTACAATGTGTTGAATTTTCCCATGAATAATCATAGACATTAATAAGGCAGGCACCAAGCTTCTGCATGTATATATACTGTATAGTGAGAGTTTGAAACCGATATAATGCCAGCTATCACATCAGTTCTCACAAATACAATGGAATCAGAATCAAAGGTGATGTGAACTACATTTTGGACCCAAAGTCTAATTTCAAATATCTACTTTTTTGTGATGGCTTGTCAACTTTCAGTTAGCTTGCACCTCTGAATTTTCATGATCTAGGAAAAGAAGCATAAACTATATAATTAATGAAGAATAGACACAATGCTACAAAAGACAAAACTTGAGAATAAACACTTAAGAAATCGAAATTACACTTCTCTGACTGACTTTTTGACAAGTGACCAAACTCATCTCCTGTGAGGGAGAAATTACAACAAAGCATGAATTCTTGCCCTGGGACTGCAGGGTGTATCCGCTGCCCTCCTGGTTATTTCTTTCATTGCCAGGTGGTCAGAAGTGACTTGTAGCTGACCCTCCCTTGGGTTTCTGAGGCTGGGAGCCACACCAGGAAAGAGCATCCATGTTTTTCCCACCAAGTTGCTGGAATGGCCAGTGTGGATTTGTAGAGAAGCATGGCCTTTGATCAACAATGGAATCCACCATGGACAATGCCACTAGAGCCCCCACCCCTACCCCCTGGCTATTAGCAAAGCCCTTAGAGAAGGGCCCAAAACATTTCAAACTTCCCAGAATGTTCTCATCACAAACGCATTATAATATTGCTTTGTTCTTAATTAATTCAATATTTTCCATTAAAGGAAAAACTTAGTTTGTACCTACTACCACTTGTCCTCTGTGAGTAAGTGAATCCCACAATGACCAGAAGGATCAAAAGAAGAGGGAGTTTCACAAAGAGAATGATCAGTAAGGAAAATTCCATAGACCTTGAGACTCTGAGACCTTTAAACACAGAGAAAGGTAATATATTAGCTGAAAGATCCTTCTAATTGACAAATTCTAATGAACATTTTAAAGAGCTTTCAAAAATATCCCTGAAAGTGTTTACAAGTACATTTCATTTTTTTCATATAAATTGAGACATAAATAGCAATAATTATCTTGCATTCATTTACTAAAAAATATTAAAATAATAATAAATTGCTGTCAAGTCAAGCCCAACTCCATGGTGACCCAATGGATGTCTATGCACACTCTGTTTTCCTTCTTCAGAAAGCTACTCTTAAAAAAATTTTACACAAACAAGGATAATTTACCTGGATGTAGTTGTAAGGACAGACTCTTGTTTCCAGTCAAGTGGGAGACAGAACAGGTCACAGTGGTCACATTGTTCACCTCCCAGTGGCACTGACTCTGCACAGACACTACACCATCACCCTGGTCTTGTTGCTCAGTGGAACAATTCCGCTCTGGGCTCCAGGAGATCTGTGCAGCCGGCTTCCCTCCAACAGCTTTGCACAGCACAGTTCCATCTGCAGTTAGAGATATGCTCTCCTTGGGGGGTACTGCAGAGATGTAAGAGGAAAACCAAATGCTTCAGTCTTAGCACAAGCGATATGGAATTTAGAGAGACATTTGATTCAGCCCCCAAGCTGACTTTTAAAGATGCCACAGGATATGATGTTCATTACCTAACACTTGGAGGTCATAGTCATGCTGGAAATGTCCGTCAGGTGATGAGATTTCACAGCTGTAAAGTCCATCATGAACAATGGCCACTGGATCAATCTGAAGGGCAGGCTTCTGGTCAGGTGTAGAGAGCCAGGTTATTCGTTTATCAGTACAGTTGTCCATGTTCTCATTTTTCTCTTTGGAATGGGCTTTGGTGCAATTACTGTTGTCTCTGAACAGTATTTTCCATGTTACTACAATCACATTTTCCAGTGAAACAACAGGACAGGAAAGCACAGCTTTTGTGTCTACCAGCACATTCAGTGAAGAGTTTTCTAGACACACAGAAGGAGAGGCATTCATATATATACACGTTTGACAAAGGACCCCATGAGCTAAATTTATCCATAATACCTAATGTTATATTAGGATGTTATGAAAGTAGTAGTGTGGCTTTTCAGGGATATTAGACTTGGTGACAAGTTAAACATGCATAAAGTGTGTTTATATACACTTGTATTAAAGATCTATTGTTTGGGGGGTTATTTCTTAAAGATTCTTTTAAAAACTAGCTCAAGAACATTGACATCTATAAACCTGACAAAATAAGAAAACAATTATTAATGATGGTAAAACATGCTTTAAATCAGATGAATTAGTTCATGATGTCAAAGGTTTATTGTTAAAAGTGACTTTGACTTTTGTCATATGATTAAGAATAGTAACTATTATGGGCTTAATCTCTCCATCCCTGTTCAAACTGTAAGCTGAGCAAATTATTCAAGAAGGTAGAATCTTGAGTACTTCTTGAGGAGAAGGGTGGCATCAAGATTGGAGGGAAACTTATCAGTAACCTATGTTATGCGGATGACACAACTTTGCTTGCTTTAAGTGAAGAGAACTTGAAGCACTTGTTGCAGAGGAACAAGGAATGCAGGCTTCAGTATGAATTGCATCTCAATGTTAAGAAAACAAAGATTATTAACTTAGGACCAATAGATAACATCATGATGGATGGAGAGGAGATTGAAATTATCAACAGCTTCATCTTACTTGAATCCACAATTAACACCCTTGGTGCCAGCAGTCAGGAAATAAGGAGATACACTGCACTGGGAAAATCTGCAGTTAGAGACCTCTTCAAATTATTGAGTAGTGGTGATGTCAGTTTGAAAGTTAAGGTCCATCTGATTCAGGCCATAGTCTTTCTGATTACTTGCTATGCATCAAAGAGTTCAACAATGAATAAGGACGACTGGAAAAGAATTGATGACATTGATCTGTGGTGTTGGAGAAGAGCACTGAACAGTCACAGATAGCCAAGATAACAAACAGATATGTCTTGGAGAGGGTGCAGCCAGAGTGCACTTTGGAGGCAATATTGATGAGGCTTCACCTTACATACTTTGTGCACATTTCTAGGAGGGGCTATTTCTTGGAGCAGGACATGATCCTGGTAAGGGTGGAGAATTGGCGAAGAAGAGGAAGACCCTCAATCAGGTGGATTGACATGGTGACTGCTGCATTGAGCTCTTGTGTGTCAGAAAGTGTGAGGACGACACAGGTCAGAACAGGGTTTAAATCTTTTGTTCATAGAGTCACTATGAGCTGTACTTCATTTGAGGGCATCTAACAACAACAGCAGTCTTTGATGCAGCAAGAATTTTAAGTTGTCTGTGCTTTCAGCAATAATGTGAGGATGGCACAGGACTCAATAGTGTTTCAGTCTGTTGTACACAAGGTTGTTAGAGTCAGAACAGACTAGAAAGCATCTTAGTAGGACAACAATCTACAATTCATTCATATAATTGCTTTTTCTTTTCCTTAGGACAAATAACAACAATTGATGTGCACCAGAATGGGTTTATATGGCTTTAAATCTAGAATTTTAATTTTTTTTGCAGAAAGCATTTTAAATATTTATCTTCAAGAGAAATTATGGTACATTCACACAATGGAATACTATGCAGCAGACAGGAGCAATGATTTTGTAAATTATTACCTAAGATGGGAGGGACTAGAGAACATTATGCTGAGTGAACTAACTCAGTTCCATGAGGACAAATATTGTATAAAACCATTATTGTGCAATGAGTATAAGGATCCAAGAGGAATGGGAGATGCTGGAAGCAGAGGGATGGAATATGTACGGGGAGGGGGAGATTAATCATTGGGTTGTACAATTTGATGGGTGGGGGGTGAGAGAAATTGAAAGAATTTATTCAAATTTGTACTCAAATTTTGTAATTAAGCTAGTAGAAAATTTTTAAAAAGAGTTGATATTTAACCAAATTGATAGTATTTATTGTTTAATCAGGACATTCTCAAGGGACATCGGCATTGAGTGTGTTGTGTGCTAGTGGAGAATGTAATGGTTCTTGGTACAGTTTATACTAGGAACCTACAGATACAATGTAGGCCCTGGCTCGTGCCCACTTAATAGGACCTCCAGATTTCTCGCCATTCCCCCCCAAAAAAAGATGATCCAACAGAATATGGACATTACCAAATAATATCATTAACATCACATGCAAGCAAAATATTGCTGAAGATTATTGAAAAATGACTAGAACAGTACATCAACAGAGAATTGCCAGAAATGCAGGCTGAGTTTAGAAGTGGCTATGGTACTAGAGATATTATTGCTGATGTTGGATGGCTCTTGATTGAGACCAGAGAATAATAGAAGAATGCCTATTTGTGTTTCATTGACTATACAAAGGAATCTAACTGTGTGGATCATAACTAATAAAGTTAACAATGAGAAGAATAGGAATCCCAGAATTCTTCACTGTGTTCTTGAGAAACCTTTATGTATACCAAGAAGCTATTGTCTGAAAAGAGCAAGGGAACAGTGAATGCTTTAAAATCAAGAAAAATGTGCATTAGGGTGTCTCTTCTCCATGCCTACACAATCTGTATGTACAACATATCATTAAACAGGCTTGACTTTATGAAAAAGAGTGTGATATCATGGATGTAGGAACATTCAACAACCTGCATTATACAGATGACATAACTTGGCTTGCTGAAAGCATAGAGGACTTGAAATGCTTGCTGCATCAAAGACTGTGGCCTTACATATGTATTACATCTCAAAATCAAGAAAACAAAATTTCTCACCACTAGATCAATGAATAACATCATGATAAGATGGAGAAAAGATTGAAGTTGTCAATGATTTCATATAATGTTAATCCACCATCAAAACCCTTGTTATCACCAGTCAAGAAATGAAAACATGTATTACACAGGGAAAATTTGCTGTCAAGGTCTTTTAAGGTGTTAAAAAGTAATGATGTCAGCTTAAAGACTAAGGTGCACTTCATCCAAACCATGGCCTTTTCAATTGTGTGCTATGCACCTGCAAGTTGAACAATTACAAAGGATGAAAGAAGAAGAATACCTTTGACTTGTGGTGTTGTAAAAGAATACTGAATGCTCCATGGATTATCAAAAGAACAAACAAATGTGCCTTTCAGAAATTGAAATCAGGATGCTCTTTAAAGGCTAGGATAGTGATACTTCATTTCTCATATTTTGAGCATGCTGTTAGGAGGGGCTAGTCCTTGGAGAAGGACATCATGTTTGGAGAGATGCAGGGTCAGTGAAGGAAACAAAGACCTTCAACAAGATGGACTGACATAGTGTCTTGAACAATAGGCTTAAGTATAACTGAGGGGATAAGGATGGTACAGAATAGGGCAAATTAAAATCCATTGTTCACTGGATCATTATGAGTCGTAGTTTACTTGATGGCACATAAAAATATTAACAAGAATTTGGAATGTCTATAATTATGTCAATATCAGCTGTGAAAACTCAAAGGTTAAAATTCATCATGACAGAAAGATAGGTAATCTTCTCCTGTGTGATTTATTGCCTCTGAAAACCACTGAAGGGTCAGTTACAAATCAGTACGTTGATGGCAATGAATGAATGAACCATCACAACACAAAGCATCATCCTGAAACCCTAAACATTCTAAGAGTATGTCAGTTTTCATTAAAAAAAAAAACAAAAACAAAAACTTGACTGACCCATGTCATAGTGAGCGCTCTAAGTACACAGGCCCAACATTGGATCTTTCCCATTTCCCTCACACTCTCCCATCAAATTGTGCAACACTATGATTAACATCCCCCACCCATCCTCACCCTTCTGTTTCCACCCTCCTCCCCTTTAGATCCTCATACTCATTCTACAATAATGGTTTTATACAGTATTTGTCCTTATTGGACTGTGTTAGTTCACTCAGCATAATGCTCTCCAGTCCCTCCCAAGTTAGGTAGTAATTTACAAAATCATTGCTCCTGCATGCTATGTAGTATTCCATTGTATGAATGTACCATAAATTCTCAATCCATTCCATTCTTTTGGGCCATCCAGTCTGGGTGTCTGTATAGGTTCTTGCAATGGATATTCTTTTTGAAAATCAGGAAATCCGAAGTCTGTAAATAAACCAGTATAAAATAATTATTTTTTAAAAAAAAACACAGATAACTAGTTAGATGTGTATAAATAGTGAAAGGGGAAGGGGAAGGGAACAGATAAAGGAGAAGGATGGAAATCACTGGGTTAGCCAATTTTAGTGAGTAGATGAAAGAACAGGAAAGATTTAATGAGGACTTGAAAAGACAGGGTGGCAATAGGCATAGATCAGTAGTAATTATATAAAATACAACGTGTATGAATGATTGTATGAAACAATGTAAATGAAAACTTATAGAAAACAATGTACATGAATGAAACATAAAATAAATGAATTATTGTATGGTAACCAACAACTTTTTTAATATAAAAAGTTTTCATTGGAATGAGTATATTTAAGATTGGTATAGCCTTCTTTTTAGTTTCTGGATCTGTAAATTAAGAGTTGTGATATTACTCTTTAACAATTACAAAACAAATAATAAATTAAAACCAATATTGCATAACTTAATAAATAGCAGAGATTAAGGTTACTTATAGAGATAGAAAAGATACCAGCATGTCTTTGTTCAACCCACCAGCTTGACCCTTGCAAAGAACTGGGTGGCAAACAGCAGTATATTTAAAGTAACCTTAACTAAACAGTAACTGCAGTTGCAGCTTCTCTATTAAGTGTGCTATCACCATTAGGTCATAGTGACGGAGAAACACAACTTGAGACTATGGTAAAGATCTGTTAAGTGCATTTTTAAAAATGAATTTTAATGAAAGTTTACAGAGACTTTGGATTACCATTACTCATTGTTGCACTTTTCTCCCTGCCCACCTCTCACCCCCAATTCGCTCCTGTCTTTGAAAAGTAAAATTCTTACATTGTTATACAATCCCTCCTCCCAAGTCCATT